CCTCAGCCAGCAAAGCTGGCTGAGGAATTCTGGGAGTTGAAGTCCACAAGTCTTAAAGTTGCTAAGGTTGGACACCCCTGCTCTAGTCCTTCTTTTCAGTAGACTAGACATCTCCAGTTCCTGTAACTGTTCTTTGAACATTTTAGCCTCCAGTCCCCTAATCATCTTATGTGAAGTACAGTACAGCTTTATATTGGACTGATGAGACTACGTTTGGAATGCTATGCCAAAAAAAAAAAAGATCTGGAGACTCCAGAAAGAGTGCAGAAAAAAGCAACAAAAATAATAAAGGATCTAGAGGCTAAGCCACTTGATGAACAATTGAGGGAACTAGCTTATGTCTGGTCTAATAAAGAGAAAGACTAGGGATGATATGATAACAGTCTTCCAGTTGAGGAGCTTTCACAGAGAAGAGGCGGTCAACTTATTCTCCAAAGCACTTGAGGGCAGGGCAAGAAGTAATGGATGGAAGTTGATTATGGAGAAATCCAGTCTAGAACTTCTTCTTCTTGTGCCATATCCGTCATCGGATGTTGGTTGATCCTATTTTGATCAACAGCCGCACGAAAAAGTACTGCTGAGTTTTGTCCAAACCGGTCCCTTAGATTTTGAAGCCCTGATGTTCTTCTTCTGCCTGGACCTCGTTTGCCTTCAATCTTTCTCTTCAGGATTAAGTGGTGAGACTCATCTCCTGAGGGGGATGAGTCTGCCTACCGAGATGAGGTGGACCGGTTGCTTTCGTGGTGTGGAGACAATAACTTGGTCCTCAACACCAATAGGACCAAGGAACTTATAGTGGATTATAGAAGGAACAAATCAGACATCCAGCCCCTGCTTATCAATGGAGACCGAGCGGAGCAAGTGGCCAGTTTTAAGTTTCTGGGTGTTACCATAAAAGAGGACCTGACCATTGCAGCTATGGTCAAAAGGGCCCAGCAGAGATGATACGGAGACTTCTCAGAAAACAACAACTGAATGAAAAACTGCTGGTGACCTTCTACTGCTGTACCATAGAGAGTATCTTAACTTACTGCACCTCTGTATGGTTTGCCAATTGCACAGAGGCAGATAGGAAAGCACTCCAGAGGGTTGACATCATTGCCCAGAGGATCACAGGTTGCCCTCTCCCCTCTTTGGAAGAGCTTTATAGCTCCCGCTGCCTTAAGAAAGTTCAAAACATTCTCAAAGATCCATCTCATCCTGGGCACCCCCTTTTTTTTTGAACTATTACCATCTGGCAGACGGTACAGGACAATAAAAACAAGGACAAATAGGCTGAAAACAGCTTCTATCCCAGGGCAGTAACTCTGTTGAATTCTATTGTATAGTGCAGTGTTGGTGCGGTGTCGGAAGTTTTCGGTTCAAAGTGTGGAGTGTGAAGGATGTGTGTTTGTGTTTATTTTCATGGTCATGATGTGCACTGAAGATGGTGTTTGATTTCATTGTATGAGGTGCAATGACAATAAAGTAAACTAAAATAAACTAAGTGAAGTGAAGAATCTAGAACCGAGGAAAAAATTCCTGAGGTGAGAACAATTTATCAATGGAAAGGCATACTTCTGGCAGCTGTGGATGCTCCATCACTGGAGGTTTTCAAGAAAAGTTTGGGCAGGCATTTATCCAGAATAAAAAGAATTATGCTTGAACAGCAGGTGGGACTATAAGACCTCCAACGTCCTTCTAACCCCATTATTCTATTTTCTAATGGCAGGGGGCTGCAAATGGCGATCACTTATCTGCAGCCTGCAGCGACCAAGCGGGATTCTCCTAATGATGACAACTGGACTACTGGAACGGCCATCATAAGATGTCACACTCAGGTGACATTGTGTCTTATGATGGCATCACTCAGCAACAGATTTACCAATCCTCATTACAGATGCTGTAGCATCATGGCATCTGTTTTAAGGGCCTGACAGTTACCTTGACAATGAGTCCTTTTGAGTCGACCATCCAGATTTTCTTAACAGCTTCTTCTCTGGGAATTCCTTCTTTTGCTAGTGCCATCACAATGAGGTGAGCAATACCCAAAGCAGCCTGAAAAGAAGCAAAAATAAAAATAAACAAAATCAAATTAATAAATAAAATCAATTCCTCCCGATAACAGGAGGAATGAAAGAGTAGGACTGGTAGGGACATCCAATGAAACTAGTTTCAGAATAAAGAAAGAAAGAATTTCTTCGTGGAAGTGACTTAAGTTGTGGAACTCCTTACTACAAGACATGAGATGGCTACTATTTGGTGAACTCCAAAAAGGAGATTCGGGCAATTCATGGACTACCTTGCAAGGCTGAGAAGTGATCACCCAAATTCTCAGAAGTAAAAAAACTCTCAGTCATCCAGATCATGGTTGTCCCAAAGGTGACTTTTCAGGAGGCAACTGGATGTTTTGGGGGAGTTTTCTGAAGACATTTCACTTCTCATTGAAGAAGCTTCTTCAACTCTGACTGGATGGTGGGGAATGGAAGGATTTATATTCCTTGCGGACAGCTCGTCCTTTGCATCCTTTTAGGGGGTCGTTGAAGCACTTGAAGGTTTATCTGGTTCCTCAGGGTCACCTGAGTAGTTTTCCTGGTTCTACAGGACTACAGAAACCAGAAGCACTACTCAGGTGACCCTGAGGATAGAGAGAAACCTCCAAGTGCTTCACTGACCCTCTAAAAGGATGCAAATGACCAGCTGTCCACAAGGAATATAAATCCTTCCATTCCCCACCATCCAGTCAGAGCTGAAAAGCTTCTTCAATGAGAAGCGAAATGTCTTCAAAAGAAAAAATAAGAAAGTCCAGTTGCCTCCTGAAAAAGCACCTTTGGGTCTCAGAAGCAAACCAGAATCTTACCTCTCCAGCCCCTTGGAAGACGAACGTATTATCAGAAAGCTTGTTCTTTGTAATTCTTAAGGCTGCAAAGATTCCGGCTATAGCAACAGAGGCAGTTCCTGCAAAAAATAAACAAAATTTTTTTTGCTATTGTTCGTGTGGATGGACCTGAAGTGCATACAGGTAACACAAAGAACTTGGGTGTCTTTTTCCAACAAGCTATGGTGTTCACTGAAGTCCGTGACCAGCAAGAACTGCTGAGATTAAGATTTTCCCGGGTGGTTGTTTGCAGCTTACAACTTGGGCAAAGATGCTCTGAGAATCTTACTACTCATTTTTTCCTGTTCTTTGTCAAGGGACTTTTTCAGAAATGTCTGCAGTGGCCATAGTGGCTCTTTTGGTACTATGACAGTGCCAGCGTTACAAAAGGCATAAATCCATTGGTCAGTGGAATTGGTAGGACCTCCATCTTCCCATGTTGACGACTGAATAAACATGATTACCTATCTCCTTTTCTACTTATTAGTACCTTTGTTAATTGTATTTTTACGATTTATATTGCTTTATTTAGTTTCCTAGTACGATTTATGTTGATTGTTTATTTAGTATCCTATGGTTATCACTAAGTGTTGTATCTTATGATTTATGATGAGTGTATTTTTATGATGATGATCATCATCATTGATCACTTATAGCTTTTATGTACGATGAGAGCTTATGCACTGAAGACAGATTCCTTGTGTGTCCAATATTGTATAGGGAATCATATCCCAAAGGTGTGTGACGACCCAGGGCCTGGCACAAAAGCAACACAGTCAGATAATCAGTAGGAGTCCCTTTATTAGCTCCAACTTTGCCCCCAATGTCCTGGTTCCCTTCTGGCTGGAGAAAAACTCTCCCAGGAACAGCCTCTGGCTGCAGAGAACCAAGTCCAAAACGCGGTCAACAAAAACTGTAACTATAAGTCCAATCAAGGCAAGAGGAGGTAATTAGTCTGGCAGGGCAAGAGAAGGAATTCCAATCATGAAGAAGGAGCAATAATTCAACTGGGTTGGGAGGATGCCAGGAACGCAGATAACCAAAGTCAACACAAGATAAACTCACGTTTGTTCCCAGCAGATGCCGCACTCAGCTTGCATCTCTTTTAAACTCTCATTCCCAGGTGTGGCTAATGAGGGGAATCAGGGCCCTTTCCTGCCCCGTAAGCCATGCAACCCATGTTGCTCTCTTCTCCATTCTACCCTGCACGCCCTAGGATGAAGAAGGGGTGGGCCTGGGTCTTCTCTGAACTCTCTCTCCCTTGTTCTACCTCTTCCCTGCTCTGCCCAGCCAGACTTTGCCCTTCCCCAGTTTCCTCCACGGCCAATGGAGCCACACTCCCACTCCCTGTCAGCTGTTTGTCTTCCTCCAGACTCTGACAGGGGCATGAGAAGTTGCTTTTTCAAGAGGCAATGTCTTCAAAGAAAAAACAAACAAGAAAGTCCAGTTGCTTCTTGAAAAAGCACCTTTAGGATATGATTCCCTACACAATATTTCTAACACAGTTATGTCCATTTATAAATGCTTCCCACACGATCAAACACACATAGCTGGACTGTGCAATTTGTGGACCATTAAGCCAAACGCATCGCTGAGTCACAAGAGGATCTTGTTAATGATGCTCAGCTCTAATGAGTTTCACCTCTTGTATGACTGCAAAACCGAAGCAACGCAATAGCAACTTTGCATTATAAATGAACCCAGCGTGACTGCACTCGCCAGGTGTTTAGACACCTGCTTAGCTAGGCCAACAGGAAGAGGAAATTGTCTACATTTCTGACGAAGCACGAATTGATCTGAACGGCTGGAAAGGAAGGTAATACACCTAAATCAATCTTGGTAACTCGAGTCAGCAAGTGTGTTGGATTACATGATTGCTCTGGAAACATTTCTTTAGGATAACTTAGGATATAACCTTCCATCCTCAGGGTCAAAGCTGGCTTGAGAAGATGGAGCAAGCATTTGGATAAGTGGTATGTTCCAGGGGTGTCAAACTCGATTTCATTGAGAGCCACATCAAGGTTGTGTTTGACCTTGGGGTGGTGTGTGTGTGTGTGTGTGGCAGGGTGGGAGTGGCCAGCTCAATGTCATTCGTTGAGGCTCCATTTTTGGCCATGTCAGTCCTCCCGGGCTCCATTTGCAGTCATGACGGCCCTCCTGGGCTTCCTTTTGGACCATGACAGCTTCCTGCCAGCAAAAACAGAGCTTAGGAATGCCACATGCAGCCTCTCCAAGCTCCCTTTTTGCTGGCAGAGGCACAGTGGGCCACTCCTTCGCTGTTTCCAGGGTGGGCCCATTGGGCCAGATCTAAGCCCCTCACAGGATGGCTCCGGCTCCATGCCTTGAGGTAGACACCCCTGGTATAGACTGTCACCTGTAACTATGACATTGGTGCTTATGACCCATTTTGCAAGGTACAATTTCAAAAAGAAAAAACTGTAGCCCCACAAAAACCACGTTATTGACCTGTTTTGGGGGTGCGTAAAGCCAATGGCGTCTTTCGATTTTTGCCCTGCAATCTTCGAAAATAAATCTACTTGTTCTGAATTCTGATGAAAAGGAAAAGTTTTCCAATTCACATTTTAAAAGGCATTTTTCAGCTAGGTGTTAAAAGCTGGGTTTTGTGCCTGCTTCTCTCAAAGCTACAGACCAGAAAATACAATGAAGTGTTCCGCAGTGGAGAGGCTGTTGTGTTACATTATCCCACATCAAAGGCTAAAGAGTGACACAGTATTTAAAGAGAATTGATTGCAGGCTCCAGAATGAACCCAATTTTTCAATTTATACCATGCACAAATACACCCACTCAACACACACACACACACACACACACACACACACACACGTTTAATGAATTTCTGGTTGCCTGTGAAGTGAGGAGGGTGCATAGTTTTTTTTCCTTGACTACAAGAGCAGAGAAATATGGTCAGTGTACTGAAAAAAATTACAGTTACAGAATAGAGTTGGAAGAGACCTTGGAGATAATCTAGCCCAACCCCGTGCTCAAGCAGGACACTGTATCATTTCAGGCAAGTGGCTGTCCAGTCTTTTCTTTAAAAACTTCAGTGATGGAGCCCCCACAACTTCTAAAGGCAAGCTTTTCCACTGTGAATTGTTCTTGTTGTTAGGAAGTTTCTCCTTAATTTCAGGTTGCTTCTCTCTTTGATTAGTTTCCATCCATTGTTTCTTGTCTTGCCTTCAGATGCTCTGGAAAATATTCCGAATATTGAAACACTGCAACCGTGTCAACCCCAGTCCTTCTTTTCTCTAGACTAACCAAACCCAAATCCTGCAACAGTTCTTCATATGTTTTAGTCTCCAGGCCTTTAATAGTCTTTTCTGCATTTTTTCCAAAGTCTCAATATCTTTTTTTTTTTGTAATGTAGTGAACAAAACTGGATGCAGTATTCCAAGCGGGGTCTTACTAAGGTTTTATAACGTGTTACTAATACCCCATATGATTTTGACTTGATGTCGTGTTTATGCAACCAAGGATTAATCCTACAGAGACAATCTTAGACAAAATCATGGAGAAAAAACATTCCAGTGATATCAGTCTCCAGAATAGTTAAATGTCCCATCTCCACTTCACTCGACACAAAATTACGATCGGGTAACTTTGTTTTGGATTAAGGACCACACTTGGTCGCTTTCAGAATGAATCAAGGGCAGATAGCAAGAAAATAAAAGTGGCGAAGGTGGAGGAAGAGATAGTGAGAAGGATCACCCACAAAGCATAACAGACCGTAGTCTTCCTCTCATATTTCACTTGGATTCCTTCGCTATAGGTAGTCCTCAACATATGGCCTATTGCTTAGCAACCATTTGAATTTAAGATGGACCTCTCTGAGGGGTCGTTATTTCATTTAGAGCTGTTTTTAATATCCTGTGGTTATGTGATCATATTTTACAACAGCGTTGCTGAAAACAGGAAGTTATTTCTAGTTTTTAGTGAAGCCAGTCCCTCAGTGAACTGTTGGTTGCTTGATAACCATGGTCATCATTTAATGATTACAGTGGTTGCTTAATGACCACTGGAAAAAGGTGGTAAGATTGGATCGGTCATGTGATAACCATCATGAGTTACAACCATGATGGGCAGCTCCGTTACAGTCGTAATTCGAAGACTATCTGAATTCTCTTTCTCTGATTTTCTGACATCCCTCTAAAATGGAAGTTTCACCAACATCTATATCTACAATATCACCTACCTACCTACCTACCTACCTACCTACCTACCTACCTACCTACCGTATCTATCTATCTATCTATCTATCTATCTATCTATCTATCTAGGCATGGCCATGGGGGACGTGGCCTACTGGAACTTCTGGGAGGGCTGTTTTTCACCCTCCCAAGGGTCTGGAGGCCTCCCTCGGGCCTCTGGGAGGGCGAAAACAGCCTCTCCCAGGCTCTGGAGGCCCACCGGAAGCTGGAAACAGGCCCATTTCTGGACTTCTGGATGGCCCCTTTCCCCCCACCCCCAGACCCTCCATGCGGACCCTGCGTTTACCTGCATTGCGTGGGGACTCCTGGGTGTGGCGGGGTGGGGCAGGGTGTGCAGGGCCAGGCGGTCGATTGAAATACCGGATAGATGAACCAGATGAAAATTTAACATCCGGTTAGCCCGAACCGGTCCAAACCGGTAGAATTCCACCCCTGGTGGTAAGTTGAGGACTACCTGCATTCTACCAGACTTCCATGTATGCAAGAGGATATTATCTTTGTCTCTTAAATATAATCACACTACTATTGTTCAGAAAACTGAATAAATACTATTTAGGACAGGGGTCTCCAACTTTTCCAACTCGGTGGAAAGGCAGAGGCAGGCGAGAGTGAATGTGTGAATGCCACTTTCACAAATTTAGTGTTGCATACACACATGCACTCACCACTTCCGTGGCTCAGTTCAGAACGGGCTGTGGACCCCTGATCTAGGAAATGTCCTAATGCATTTAAGTGAACTATCCTGCTACTGCTATCCTATAGCTCACGTTGTCATGGCGGCATCACGCGACATATCAGGACTTTCCCCCCTTTGCTAAACTGGGCGTGGGTGTGGCCAACACATGACATATCCGGCCCTTGGGCTGGGAGTTTGACAGCCCTGCTATAGTTTCAAAAGCTCTTTATGCAAACAATCCCTTTTTGTTCCCTTAGCCTGATTTCTAAGAATATTCACACATGCTTTTCAAAATTCATATTTATCAAAGCTCAGTGCACTCTTCTGTCCTCTTGAGGGAGCTAAATAATTAATTTTTTTATCAGCATCAGAGAAACGAACGCCATACAGTTCAAGGCACGCAACTTTTCCAAAGAAACACTTCACGTTTAAAAAGAAAAACATTGTTATAAAGAGATGAGGGGAAGGAAAGAATGCTAAAGTATGGTATGACTTCCTGTTATGTGGTTTTGAGAAATCTCTACAGTCTTCCCAAGAGGTAGGGTGTGCCGAAACTAGAATTCTATATTCTAATGACTAAAATCACCAAAACCTTGCAGGAAGGTGTTGCATAATAAATGTTCCTTTTCTTAAAGAATGTTTCTTGTATGTCCCATCAGCTCTACTAATTGTTCCCCTGTTTTCCAGTTACGTAATCCAAGACGTAGCAGATGTGAAGAACAAAGATTTATGATGAAAATTAGGCTCTGCTAGTCTCAAAGGAGAAGACTTTTAAGAGCCCACAAATATTTTTAAGTAAACAACTGGCTGTTTAATGTTCATTTAATACCAAAAGGTCATTCTGCAAAACAAACAGAAATCAATCTTTCCTGCTCACTGTAATTTGCTAACACCAAAAATAAAACATATCAAGCTTTTATTAATGATAATTTAAGAATCCATTTATTCAGTTGGTCACTTTAAATTCATGGCCAAATATTTATGTTTATTTAATTTATTTAATTAAGTTGGGTGTGTCCAGTCCATGACCCCTGGACAGCTAGTGATGTGGCCACACAAGACTTCAAACTTTTAACATTATTATGTGATTTATGTACATTAGTTATAGTATATATTTGATACGCAGCCATATAAGACCATTCCTCTCCACTCTACACAGCCCAGACAAGTCAAAAGGTTGGACACCCATGAATTCGACACAGGGATGTCCAGTCTTGGCAATTTTTAAGACTTGTGGACTTCAACTCCCACAATCCCCCTGCTTCTTTGGCATTTCTTTGATTGGGATATTGTTTGCTTCTTCATTGTTGGTCTATATTTAATCTTGGTGTTCATCTTTGCTCATTTGAGGGTTGATCACTGGTGAGAGGTGTTCTGGTCTTTTTGTTCCTTTTTTTTTGGCTTGTTGGTTGTATCTTTTAAATGGTATGTAGATGTTGTGCATGTCTATGGGCCTGTTGATGGCTGATTTGTCAGAGTGCCAAGCTTGGATCCAGCCAAGTCCAAAAATACTAGAGGATTCCTGGAAGCCTGGCAACATTAGACCAACGGTCAAGAAGCAAACAATACCCCAATCAAGGAACTGCCAAATAAACTAACAGTAAACAGCAGCCTAAACAAGGAACCACCAAGATCACTCCCACCACTGACAGGGCAAGCCACAAAAATATAAATTGAGAGCAAACCCTACTAGCACTAATGATGTTACTTAGTTGGGTAATGAAACGTCTGCAAGAAAACAGCCAAGGTAAGAGAGCACCAAGGACCTTACAGTCCTAACCCCCTCCTCTTCCTCCTCCTCCCTGCAAACCTTACTCCCTTTTAGCACTGATGATGTTACTTAGTTGGGTAATGAAATGTCTGCAAGAAAAAAACGAGCTAAGAGAGCACCAGGGACCCCTCCTTTCAGCACTGAACTTCAAATATTCTCCCCTATCGAAATCTCTCAGTATCAATACAAATGTCATGAACTGAATCTGTTCTTGCCCATTTCACAAGAGAACAGAGAAAGAGGGGTTGTGATGAAGGAAAATCTACATCAGTGAACTAAGAAAGAATTTTTGCAGAGGGAAAATGTGTAACAATGTGAAGGTGAAGGATTCGAATGCAAGTCTTTATGAAGGTAAAATCCAACTTCCAACTGTGAGGAAATACATTCTTCTTATTTTACTTTTTATAAGTGGCTGCCTCTGTTTGTAAGGAACATCTCCAGATATCTCTACGGAACTTTATGTACGGCTGGGACGAACTGCAGAATGTGTAACTCAACCGAAACAATGTGGTACTTCTACTTACCTCTTGAGTATTTCCTCCAGGCAGTGGTGGGATGCTGCCGATTTGGACCGGTTCACAGGAACCAGTAGTTCCGACAATCAGCTGGCCCCAGCTGCACGCATCTGCCCTATCCTGTCCTTTATTTCCTGCTTTGTAGCTCATCTCATTCATGCAGCACAGCTGATTTCACCCCCCCTCACTGTTCTACTAACAGTTGGCGACTTGGAAGGTCAGCAGATAAGCTTCTAAATGCTCTATTTTCAGCGCTGCGCAAAGCACACGCTCACTGAACCGGTTGTTAAACTGACAGCATCCCACCACTGTCTCCAGATGAAGCTCAGAAGACCTTGAGAGGTACCTGTTGGCAAGGAATCAACTGCAAAGGAACTCAACAGAAGACGCCTTGCAAGGTTGCCACCTTTCATTTTATCAAGGAACACTTAGACATCTTACCCTGAATGTCATCGTTGAAAGTACAATAACGGTTGCGATATTTGTTGAGAAGCCGGAACGCGTTGGCATTGGCAAAGTCTTCAAACTGAATGAGACAGTTCATTCCGTACCTGCAGAGTGACAAAAAAAGGAATAATAACCAAGAATAATAACCACTGGCAGAAGAACTGATGGGAAAAACACCGGCAACTTGCTTGCAGGAAGAAATAGGAAATCCTCTTCACAAACCAACGTCATAAAGGCTAGCCTGGGCTTTCTGAACCCAGCACCTTAACAAGGATCTTAGAAGTTGTAATGCAAAAATTGTGGAGGACACAATTCAGATTGGGGAAAATTTGACACAGAGAAACTTTGGCAATTGATAGGCTTCCGCAGAGACAAATATAGATAATCCTTGACATACAGCATTCGATGAGTGACAGTTTGAAGTTACAACAGCACTGAAAAAAAGTGAAGTCCACAGCACAGCCCTTCTGCCAGAACAGTTTGGGCTATTCTATACGTTGTATTTATGTGTCAACAGGAGTTCTGATTTACCCCCAGCTTATCAGGTACTTGGGAGCCGAGGGATTGGCAGCACAAGGAAACAACAGCCTATAGCTGGCCATCAACACACCAATAAGAAGGCACAACATAAATAAGTCTCACTGAATAGCTTAAAGAACTTATCTCGGTAGAGAGCAGTTCCTTGAAGATGGGCTTCAGCGCGAGCCTCAAAGCTCAGAAGACTAAACCACTGGTCCTGCCGACCCATCTAGATTGGATCTTGCAACATTATCCTAGGACATATATGTTCAGTGGTGGGATTCAACCGGTTTGCACCACTTTGGCCAAACTGGTTGTTAAATTGCTGGCTGGCCCCTCTCCTCCCCATCCAGGAATCCCCAAGTGCTCCATTTCGGCTCCCAGATAAGTGCAGGCCCAAAATGGGGCGTGGGTGTGTGTGTGGGTGTGACGCGCCCCCCCTGCAACCTTTTTCTGCTCCCAGGGAGGTGCAGGAGGCCGAGTGCTACCTGTCACACACCCCTGGCTATGCCCATCATGGCCACGCCCACCCAGCTGGTCATTAGGGCAGAGAACTGGTTGTTAAATTACTCGAATCCCACCACTGCCTATGTTCAGCATACGTGAGATGATCTTTGTTTCACAGCAGTGGTGGGATTCAAAGATTTTTACCACTGGTTGGGTGGGCACGGTGTGGAATGTGTGCACGCATGCACCAAATGTGCACTTTGCACAGCCACAGAGGCATTTGCACAGGTGCAACTCACCTCCTGCAAGCCTGTGCTCTCCTTGTCGCTTCAGCTGCGGCTACATGGTACTACGCTGTGCCGCGCAAAGCAGCTGCGCTTCAAAAGCAGAAGATAAAGGTGAGTATGATAGCCCAGGTGGGTGGGTGGGCCCAACAGCAGATGGGCGGAGAGAAACGTTTCGGCCTCCACTGCTCATCGGCGCTACCAGCTCAGCCGAACCAGGCTGAACCAGTAGAATACCACCACTGTTTCACAGGCTGTGTGAACCCAGCACACACGAACTCCGGATTATGTGGCAGATCCTGGGAGGATTCTTTGAAAGACCCACGCATGGAAAAATAATGTTTCCCTAACAGCACATGGTTAAACAATCAGTGCTTTGAATATATGAAGCGAATAATTGGAGAGACGGCGCCAAAGAAAAAAAACAAACAAACTGATGAATAGACCCCCTTCTGAATAAGTGGCCAAGGGAGCATCTAATGAAAAGAGAACATGCTGCCTTTGGGTCCCAAACTAAGCAATAAAACTTTGGCATGGCAAAACAATCTTCCATTCAGCACCTCCGACTCTTTCCTGAAACCTGACGTGAACAAGTCCAGGATAACACGGAGGGCTCCCAGTCTGGAAACCGACACCAGGAAAATCAAGCTTTATTTCTACATAAGCTATTGAAAGCTCCATTCATCACCGTATTAAAAAGGTTCCTGGTTTTTGTTAGGGTCTCCCAGGTGTATATATTTTTCTCTCTCTCTTGTTGCTGTTTGTCAGGAGTTTTTCTTTTTGCCCTGCTAAAATGTGTCTGTCAGCTAGCAGACAAAGACAGCTGGCTCTGTGGGCTCTTGCTAGACATTCAGACAAGTAATTCAGTCCCCATTTTGCTCCTTGATTATAAAAAAAGAAATGAGAAAAGAAGAAAAGGTTTACCTCTCCGACAGCCCTTCTATCTCACCTGTATTTCAGACGGGCATCTGCTCTTAAAGAGCTTAGAATCCATGCCATACAAAGCATTTTTTTAAAAAAAATTCTGACAAGGGAGCATGAAATTCCTGTCAGGAGGCTACAATTCTTACTCCGCTTACCTTCTGGATGTAGGTTGCCAGAAAATTGGAGTATAGTCATCCTCACAGTTCGGCCCCAAATTTCTGTTGCTAAGCGAAACATTTCTTACGTGAATTTGGTCCCCTTTTGCAACCTGTCTTGCCACAGTCGTTACGTGAATCACTGCAGTTGTCAAGCTAGTAGGATGTTTATTAAGTGAATCTGGTTTCCCTGTTGACTTTGCTTTTCAGAAGGTCGCAAAAGGGGACCCCAGGACACTGCAACCGTCATAAATAAGAGTCAGTTGCCGAGCCTCTGAATTTTGATCAGGTGACCACAGGGATGCTGAAATGGTTGTAAGTGTGAAAAACGGTTGTAAAGTCTTTTTTTTTTCAGTGCCATTGTAACTTTGAAGAGTCACTAAATAAACTGTTGTAAATCAAGGACTTCCTGTAGTAGATTGATCTCAACTTGCAATGACCACATCAATGTACAGATAGTCGACTTACAACCATTTGTTTAATGACCTTCCAAGTTACAATAGCATTGAAAAAAGTGACTTGTGACCAGATCTTAACAAAGTTGGAAGGTCATCTGGTCCAACCCCCTGCCCAAGCAGGAGACCCTACACCATTTCTGACAAATGGTAGTCCAGTCTCTTCTTGAAAGCATCCAGGGATGAATCTCCCACAACTTCCAAAGGCAACTTCTGTTCCATGGGTTGATTGTTCTCACTGTCAGAGAATTTCTCCTTAGTTCTACGTTGCTTCTCTCCTTAATAATTTCCACCCATTGCTTCTTGACCTGCCCTCAGGTGCTTTGGAGAATAGCTTGACTCCCTCTTCTTTGGGGCAGCCCCTGAGATATTGGAACAGTGCTATTATGTTACCCCTAGTCCTTCTTTTCATCAAACTAGACATACCCAATTCCTGCAACCGTTCTTTATATGTTTTAGCCTCCAGTCCCCTGATCATCTTGATTGCTATGCACTCTTTCTAGAGTCTCAACCTCTTTTGTATAGTGTGGTGACCAAAACTGGGTGCAGTATTCTAGACCAGTTTTCAGACTTACGACCGTTGCAGCATCCCCATGGATATATGTCCACAATTTGGGTGCTTGGCAACAGGCATGTATTTATGACGGTTGCAGCTGCCCAGGGTCATATGAACTCCTTTTGCAACCTTCCAACAAGCGAAGTCAGTGGAAGAAGCCATATTCGCTTAATACTTAACAACGGTAGTGATTCGCTTAACAAGAGTGAGAAAACAGATTGAAAAATGGGGTGCTACTCACTTAACAACAATGTTGCTTAGTAATAGAAATTTTCGGCTCAGCAGTGGTCATAAACCGAGGAGTAGCTATATTCAAAGCCAACTTACGATGCTTTCTTGACAAGGTCCACCAAAATTGGCTGGATGTAATCACTTATATGAAAGTTTTCTAAACTCCAAACTTCTAGTAACCATTTCAGTGTATTCCGTAGCTCAATTCTTAATAATTACCTGGACATGAGTCATACACAGCTGGCTGGGTATAACCACTTGTAAGAAAGGAGTGCCATTCTTTGACTTTCAAGAATTTGGAAAAAATACAATAAATTGTGTAAATAAAAATGGTGACAGTTCATAAGGATTACTAGGTCCAAACAGAAATACACATTATTTACATGGCAAGGAAGATAAACCAGGAATGGTTAAGTTGATTACTTTATTTAAAGAGGAAAACGTGTTCTTATTTGGATATCACTTTTGGAACTTACGCTTGTGAAGAAAAAAAAATGAAACTTTGATTTTGGTTTTGTTGATTAGAAAGATTCGGTGTTCTAGAAATGGCTAGTTATTATATATCAATGTGTAAAAGCAAAAAGTCAAACTGGAGTTTATTCTCTTGTACCGTGCTAGGAAGAGTTGGAAGTCAATGCCCCCTTTCCTATCCTTAATTTCCCATGTTCTTTTCTTGTTTGTATTTTATATAATAAAATAAAAATGATTTTTAAAAAAGAAAAAAAAGGGGTATCGCTGTCTAAACTGGTCCCAGCTGTAGCTTCTCTGTGGACTCATTTTTATTTTAAGATGAAAACTGAGGATAATTTCAGCTTCTAGCAATTTCTTGCAAATTACTGCTTTTATCCCCCAAAGGAAAATAACCCTGAATGCAAGACAGCTCTCTATCTAAAGAAAGCTAAGACAGGGAATAAAAGGAAAACAGATATAAATGCACACGGAGTCTTCTCTGTGCCACCTGTCTTACCATCTTGTCAAATGGAATTGCCAAATCCTATGGAAACCAGTATGGAAGAGATTTTCCTCTCAAGTGAATGCAATGCATGCATGCATAAAGCTAGGTATAGAATAGTGTTTAAGGGGGTAAGCCAGGATGAGAGACCACAGTAATGCTACTCCAGTCATTCTTTGCAGCCTGACTTACTTACACAGAGGTGGAAATTCTCCGTTTGCCACCCAGAAGGGCCGGAGAAAGGCAAGGCATAAATCTGGCAAGTGTATAAATATTGTAATGACGTACACATAACTCCTAAAGAAATCCAGACAGGACAAAAATAAAAGTTTTATTAAGGATTAAAATGAGTAGCTTTATATGAAATATGACGTGCATCTGGAAAAATATGCATGCTAAAATTGTCTCTCTCCCTCTTATAAATAAATACACAGGGAGACTGTAGAAATCTAATTTCATCACGCATTATAATAAATTTAAGGGACTCATTAGTAGCAAGAGAACGTAAATAGACTGCTAAACTGGATTGGATGGTCCGTTCTGTTGGTTTTACCCCATCTAAATTTGGATAGAAATCGTGGCAAAAAGCCATGAAATAACAGTCATTTTTTCCCCCATTTCTGTTTGCAAAAAAACGAAATGGTTGACAGAGACTGTGCAAGAAAATGTATGCATATTGTTCCCAAATAAGTACAATCAAGAATCAGCACACACACACACACACACACACACACACACACACACACACACACAGGTAGTCCTCGACTTACGACAATTTACTTAGTGACTGTTCAAAGCTGCAATGGCACTAAAAAGTGATTTATATGACCGTGTTTTTTTCACACTTTGGACCGTTGTAGTGTCCCCAGGGTCACGTGGTTTGCCGGCAGCCGATGCAGACGGCAGAGGTATCGGACAGTGAGGACGAAAGGGAACCAGTCAGTCTGGAGAGGACTCGGACAAGGGTCCTGCATCCGATGCAGGGATGTGGCCAGGACCATCTGGGGGTGGAGTGCTGCCTTTGGAGCCTTCGGAGTCTGGCAGCAGAGAGGCAGAGGCCCCAGGGGAGCCATCACCTTCTCCTTAGGGCTGAATAGCCCAAGGTCACCCAGATGGCTTTGTGCCTGAGACAGGAACTAAGAGTCACTGTTTATTTTTCCGTTGACAGTATTTTAAAGTCACCTACCTTTCTCCTACTTCCACTTCCCAAGATTGCCCACAGCAGAGGCAGCCAACAAGACATCACGATACAGATCTGCAATGTATTCTCAACTCCAGCAAAACGGACATCAACCAATAAATATCTTTTGTGGGAGTACATTTTCAAAACAGACGGATAACAGACAGATGGCCTGGGATACCCTTCCTGATATATAAACTTATCATGGGCTTTTATCACAGATGGCTGAATCTGGCTCTAGGTGCATAATCCCAGGTGCTGTGTCTGGCCCTGCCATTCCTCACATCATCACCTGTCAAAGACTGGCATTCAACCAGAGAAAATGGCACCAACACTTGAGATGCTTCTCCACAGACCAATTAACGTTACTGCCTATTAACGTTGCAAAAGACCCCGGCAAGTGAAGGAGATATCAATCTTTTTCTGTCTTAAGTCCTAAATTGATGAGGCTGAAAGGAGAGTGTGTGAGGACTTCTTGATTTTATCACTCACCAATGTTCTGTCTCAGGAGAGACGATTGGGCAACTCACCAAATAAGACCAAATTAAGTAGAAAATTGAGAGCAGCAATCGGCGTTTTACTCACTTGCTGAACAGATTGAGATTGTGATGACCCGGGGTATGGCACAAAAGCAAAAAAATCACAAAAATAGGTAAAGCCCCTTTAATACCTCCAACTTGGCCCCCGATGTCCAGTTATCATCGGCTGGAGAAAAAACTCTCCCAAAAACAGTTTATAAAGAGAAGAAATTCCATCCAAGCCCCAAATACATCTAAATTATAAATAAAAACCAACACAAACCACGCCGCAGCAATTAACAAGACAGGGCAGGATAAGGGATTGAAGACGTGGAAAAATAATGAACCACACACACTTGGGAAGATGCCAGAACTCAGATAAAACTTGACAAACCAGAATAATTTCATGCTTTGCTTTCAGCAACTTTGCCATGTGCAGTTTTCTCTTTTAAACAGTCTTCCCAGCTTCAGCCAATGAAGGGGATCAGGGCCCTTTCCCCCCCGTAAACCACGCAACTCACATTGCTCCCTTATCCGTTCCTCCCTGCATGCCCTAGGATGAAGAGGGGGAGGGCCTGGCTTCTCTGAATGCCCAGTCGGACTGTGCCCTTCCCCAGTTTCCTTCACAACCACTGGAATCACACTCCCACTCCCTGTATAAATGTGTTGCTGTGTCCCATTTCTCTGCCACTTCCTCCAAAGACAAACACTAGTGGTTGGAATGCAGAATTGCAGGCAAACTCTGCCCACAGTCTGGAGTTCGATCCTAACCGACTCAAGGTTGACTCAGCCTTCCATCCTTCCGAAGTCGGTAAAATGAGGAGGCAAATTGTCGGAGGTAACAGGCTGACTCTGTAAACTGGGTAGAGAGTGCTATAAAACACTACAAAGCGGTTATATAAGTCTAAGCACTGCTGTTTTTCTTTTAGGAATAACTATTTCTTTTTTTCCTCACAGCTGCCTAGATCTCATTTTTATTTATAAATTTTATGTCATCTTATTCTACATATTTATGTATTCAATTATTGTATTTTGTCCTATAACGATTGCATTTTACACTACTGTCATTTTCAATTGTTCGTTTAGAATTTTATTGGCAATGTGTGTTTGAACCTGTACATTGATTTGGCTCATAGGCTAATCAATCAATCAATAGATATTTATTTATTCTGGCACAACCTCCGCTCGAGTGGGAGCCCCAAATTATTTTTCTAACAGTTACATGACAGTTATCTGTGACTCTTCCCCAAGATCATTCCCATATACCTTAACTGTGACCAGTTATTTTTAACAAAAAGCGCTAATCACTAGGCCTGGCCTTAAATGCCAGAAATCCATGCGAGCTAACATTTTTCACATGCAGATGTCCTGTGCCACGGATAGGAAATCGTTCCTGCTCTACCACATAAATAAACATTAACCTAAGAGGGTCTTCATCCAAAGGGGTCATTTCCAGACCACCCACGGGGGCATCCGTGCCTACATTTTTTTTCTCTGTTTCAAATCTGCAAGTTGAAAGCTGGTTTGTTTACATGCCTCAATCTCTCACGGTAAAGCAGCTAACGGGAGAGTAAGTAGTAAGCCTACTCACTTGTTAGTGACGGCTTGCATAAACTCATCCAGCAAGTCATCGTACTGTTTCCCACGAACTCGCTTATGCTTGAGGCCAATGTAGAGCGGGTCATTCAGGAGCGCCTAAAATAGAGGAAGGAAAAACAAACAATGTCTGCCTCAACAGCAGCAGGATATTTTTCTCCTGCCGGCTAGAACCGTTCTTCCTGCATTAGCAGGAAAATGGATGATTTATCTTCATTTCGGGCAGTTAACCCCAAATAGTAAAGGTTCTGTGTGGTGGCTCAGGTTGGGTTACATTGACAGTGTGGGAACAGGACCCTGGCTCATAAAACAACCTCTGTCTTTTCCTGGGAATAAATAGAATAGGATTTCCTGTCTGAGCAGGAGGTTGGACTAGAAGACCTCCAAGGTCCCTTCTAATTCTCTTATTCTGTTTGTCTGACTGCAGGGCTATGTTGCTTAAAGCAGCTATGTTTTAAAGTAGGGGTCGCCAACCTTTTGGACCTCAGGGACCACTAACCGGTTCTGTGGGCATGGCCTAATTTGTGGGTGTGGCTGTGACTGGCTGGGCATGGCTTATATGTAAATATTATAAATATTTATATAAATATTGAATTTTTTATTTAAAAAAAGAGCTACTTTTACCCAAAATCAGGAAAAGCAGGCAGGCAGATTGAGTTGCTCACAGAATCATTCAGCGATCTATCTATCTGCCATCAGCTAGCTCAGTCTGTCACATAAAATTTGCTTGCCGTGAGTCTGCACTGAATAATAGAACCTTCAGTCCTAAGGAAGGCTCAGCTGTTCTTAAAAACAGAACCGAAGATCTAAAGACTAGCTAGAAAGCAAGAAATCCAACCATTTCCTGCTTCCTAGATAATCTAAATCTCCCGGCACAGCAGAACAGCTGATGGTTGGAAAAAGGAAAAATAGCAATTTAGAAGGCAAGTTTGCCAGATAAGGAATGACTGGGTGAGGAGGGTTCCCATGGGCCATGTGGGGCGGTGCAGCCTTGTGTTCCTGCACAGCCTGGATTAATTGCTTTGAGGGGTGCTCTGGGGACAACATTTATCTGCAGCCCACCAACATTTTCCCGCGGCCTGCTGCGGCCCATTGGTTGGCAACCACTGTTTTAAAGCATTGTGGGAAGTCCCCCCCAACTCCTAGAAGAATGAAATATTTTGGGAAATATTAGAAAGGCAGAATATTATATTTCCCTAAAGGAGAAATGGAGAAACATGCTCTTAAAGACAGAAAGCAGCCCCAAAGTCTTTCTTAATAGCCCACAGCAGATGCCAGCACTTAAGAGCTTATTGAAGGAGTACCTAGATAGCTCTATTCATAAGCAAAGCAAATATTGCAGGCAGAAATCCATTCAAGAGAGGATATTTTGACACTCCTTGGCAGAATGGTAGGATTAGAAAGCAGCCCCTCATCCAAGATCCAATACAGGATGAAAGCCATTAGCTATAATAGAAATTGCCCAACACGCTTTCAGAATATAAGTCCCTTCATTATACAATCTCAGAGCAGTCCAAACTTCATCTGGGAACTCAGTTAAACAATAAGCCAGAGGTTGACCAGATTAACTCAGACAAGCACCTAGGATTTGCATTTCCTCTTTTGCCTATAGAGCCAGCTATGACCCCTACATAACCCCCTACATGACCTGATAGGTATCTAACAACAGCCAATAGAATATTAAAGGATATGTTCTTGGACAGGAACAGGAAGCTCAAATAGAAAGCCCAAAGAAGGTATAAAAACCCACCCACCCTCAACTCCATTTTGTCAGCTGCCCAGAATAACATGGTTGGTGGTTATGCTTCATCAATAAACCTCTCTTTCCAATCAGCCCCCAGCCTCCATTTTGTTTCCAGCACCTTTCTCCCAGCCTGGAACTGAACCAGATGGATTTTCCTTCTAGCAGCATCTTTAGAGCAATTGTGTCTTCCTGGGAGCAAAGGGCAATTGCAGAGGACAGCTTTAGAGCGTTATGTAGCACAGTATTTTTTTCAAACTTGGCAACTTGAAGATGTATGGACTTCAACTCCCAGAATTCCCCAGTTTGGGGGATTCTGGGAATTGAAGTCCACGCATGTTCAACCTGTCTAGTTTGAAAAAAACATGGACACCATCTTAAAGCAGCTGTGTCCTTTCCCACAAACATGCAGCAACTGGTTGATGTCCTAATTGTGGTATTCATAAGCAGAAATGATATTCAAAGACAAGGGATGTAGTTTCAGAATAATATTCCTGCAAAATATCTGTAGAGATTCTCAGTCATCCAGGTTATGGTTGTCATAAAGGTGCTTTTTCAGGAGGCAACTGGACTTTCTTGTTTTTCTTTTGAAGGCATTTCACTTCTCATCCAAGAAGCTTCTTCAGCTCTGACAGAACTGTGGGGAATGGAAGGATTTGCAAGGAATATAAATATTTCCATTCCCCACCATCCTGTCAGAGCTGAAGAAGCTTCTTGAATGAGAAGCGAAACGTCTTCAAAAGAAAAAAAAAACAAGGAAGTTCAGTTGCCTCCTATAAAAGCACCTTTGGGACAATATTCTTGCAAGCTTAGTGCTGCGGTGTCAACATCTGGATAGAGTTGAGTTTTAAAGCGATGAAGGCAGAGAACATTTATGCTTTAAAACACCATTTGGAGCATCTGAAGTCCTCCACAGCCATATCAAAGAAAAAAAACTACAAAAAGGTCCTTCATTTCATTAAAGCTGTCCTTTAAATCTATTTATTTTCCGCTTCAGTCCTTTGACTGTTACCGTATAAATGGTACCATTTAATCTTTCACATTTTTGAGAAAAATACGAAAATGGAATTGTCTTTGTAAAATGTACTGTTTGGTTTTAGATATATGTGTTAGAAGATACGTTTTTGTAACACTTTTCTTGATGTTCCTCTTGGATTTTCCTTTGTAAAGCAAAGTTTATAAGCATAAGCAATTGAAACTTTTAATCCTTATGAACCTCTTTCAGATTTGCTCCTTTTTGAGGCTGGTCCTTTATGTTTTTCTGAGAAAATATAGCCAGTGTGTATACAGTCCTTCTGGCTTCTGTGTAAATAAAGGAGCCCCCTCACAAAGCGAGGCAAAAATGTGCCTCTCTGTTACAGAGTATAATATTAACCCTCGGTTCGGATTTCAGTATAACAATGAAAGGGTAGAAATATTATCCTTCCGTGCACTTCATGCCTCTCCATTGCTTTCCTGCCTGGAATAATCAGAGCAGGCAATTAGCAATTTACTAGATAAGACCAACCTTTGACCATGTGGGCGGGACATTGTGCACTGATGATGTTACCTAGTTGGGTAATGAAATGTCTACAAGAAAACAGACAAGCTCAGGGAATACCAAGGACCCAACAAATTTGAATTAGCATCAGCATAAAAATGTGAAGGATGTTCTGCTTAAAAATAATACTTTGATCCGAGCTCAGTTTCCATTGCAGGTAGTTCCTCGACTTATGACCACAATTGAGGCTTGAGCCCCAAATTTCTGTTGCTAATGAAGATGTTAAGTGAGTGTTGTCTCATTTTACCACCTTACCTATCACAGTTGTTAAGTGAACCACTGCAGTTGTTAAGTTAGTAACAGGGCTGTTAAAGTGAAACTGGTTTCCCCATTGAATTTGCTTGTCAGAAGGTCGCAAAAGGGGGATCCCAGGACCACGAGACACTGCCAATGTCATAAGTATGAACCAGTTGCCAAATTTTGATCATGTGGCCATGGGGATGCTGCAGTGGTCATAAGGGTGAAAAATGGTCATAAATTGTTCTGACCCAGCTCCCCAAACATGATAAACCCTCTGAAGTTAGTTCAAAGATTCCTTTATTAGGAGCGCCAGCAGCCCCGGCAAAGCGTTTATCTCTCACCGCAGGCTAACAAGTCTGTCCAGCATGGAGATGAATAGTTGTCTGCCACATATATTCATCTCCGTCCCCTGCCTTTTATCCCCAGAGCTAGGGTGGGTTTCGCTAGCAGCGGTGGCTCTTCTGTCCCAGGGACCGGCCCATAGATTTCCACTGCTCTCCTCTCCTCTGCCTTCTGTGCAGCCGTGTGTCAGGCCCTGGACCCAGCTGTTCCTCCTCTTCCTCATCAGCCATCTCCAGACCTGGGGGCTGTTGACTCTCCATTTAAGGGCTGATGGACGGCTCAGGCTCCGCCTTTGTCTCTCTCTCTCTCTCTCTCTCTCTCTCTCTCTCTGACGGCTCCATTCTCTCTTCCCCCTCGGAGCTCTCAGACTGCTTTGATGATGACCCTGACTCCCACACCTCCTCCTCCTCCTCTTCCTCTGATTTGGCTGCTAGAAGAGCCAGTGGCCGATAGGCTGCAACATAAGTCACTTTTGTTGATTTATGACCATTGTGACTCCGAATGGTCACTAAATGAATGGTTGTTAAGTTGAGCACTTCCTGTACTTGATACACAAGGGATGTCAGATGCTTTGTCCATGTGTCAACTATGCTCAAATCAGCCAAAGGATGCGGGGTGGACGCTGAAGCCATGTCCATCATCTTGTTTCATTTGATTGACGCATACACACCCCAGATACCAGCGCACAAGGCTTTGGCTTGTAATCCCGGTCTATGTACACAGACCCATAATTCATACTTTTGATTGAAATATTATTTTTCCAAGAGAGCCATAACTCTGGCCATTAACAAATGATTCATAGGAAGCACTGGTTTAGCTCAGTGGGAAACAGGATTCTGGACCGCATACTGGAAACAGAAGCAGATGCAAATACCAGGGGACAATTAAACAGCCTGGATGACTAAGAGGAAAGAGATTCGGGTCTTAATCAATAGGTCGATTCAGCTGCACCAAAAACTGGGGACGTGAAAACATCTTTCCAAGTGACACATTGTTCCCACAGTGCTTTCTTGCTGACATTTCACATCATTTTGTTCGTTGTTTTCCCAAACAGCGAAAGGCACAGCTGTGTTTCTCCACCAGGAAGCATAAAAGGGGATTCCCTGGATTGAAAGTCGAAGTTTCTCTCCGTTGTGACACATAGTGTTGTCCACTGAAGACAAGGCTAGGGGTTTTTTTTAAAACGCTATCAGCTGCCTAATTTGACAAAGCCTTCACATTGATTAAGGGGACTTA